GGGGTAGACCAATGGTACAGAATAGAGGACACAGAGACTAACCCACATAATTATAGTTATCTTATATTGGACAAAAACATAGTTTGGAGAAACGATAGCCTCTTCAACAAATGGTACTGGGGAAATTGGAAATCCATATGCAACAAAATGAAATTAAACACCTATCTCTCACCATGCACAAAACTCAACTCAAAGTCAATCAAGGACAGAGGAATTAAACCAGAGACCCTGCATCTAATAGAAGAAAAAGTAGGCCTCAATCTCCATCACATTGAATTAGGCCCCTACCTCCTTAATAAGACTCCTATAGCACAAGAATTAAAATCAAGAAACCCATTCTTACACCACAAAAGTTTGTATAATAGGTTAATTCCCCTCTCACTTTCCTTTTTAGAAGTGAGGTAAAATCTTGAAGAACTGGCCCAAATAGAATAGGAAAGAATTTCTTGTTTCTCCAGTGTCAGTTAGGGACTTCCTTTTTCTGTAAAGAATGAGGACTAAATTTCCATTTCATATTAATATAGTGTGATTAACTTTGCAGATAAACATGGAAATTCAACAATAATAAAATGTAAAAAGGTCATATACATTCCATAGACAAATGAAACCATGATATTTAAACATTCATTCATTGTAATTTGGTTTGGTGTATTAATATCCACCTAATAGTTTTCACCTAAACTTCATTTTCATTCTGCTCTACATTCTTTCCTCAATCTGCACACATTTTGGACTAAACAATCTTTTCTGGTACTTTCCTGGTACTTTCCTCCATGCTTTAGTAAGACACTGTTCTTTGAAGTTTCCTAAAAAGAGGCAACTCTGCATCCATGAGATAATCCAGAAAGTTCGTGATAACAAAACTTAAGAGTAAGCATGTAGGCAGAGACAACAGATTCCACTTTGATACTGCAAGAGGGTAAGTAAACCTACAAAAAATTATAAGTCTAGATGACAGAAAGTAAGCCGTCTTTAAAACACTGGCCCTTCTCAAATATTTGGTTTAATTTACAGCAGATTATTTTATAATAGAAGATAGTAATAATATAGATTTATCTTTCTTCTGAACCAACTGAATGAATCACACTTATCTACCTTTATACAACCCACTCATGTCTTCTTGGGGAACCCAAAATAATAAAGGAAAGAACATGGGCATGTTGGACAGGGAGATCTGGCAGAATTTTAACTCTTACATGTTGGAAAAGTTATTTAATCCTAAAAAGCTCCAGTATCTTGCTTGTAATTAGGGCAATGAGAACACACAGGATTTTAAGTATATTTATAAATATTTTGACCTAAATATAATAATATATGATTGTTTTATGCACACACACAAATATAATAGGATGCAAAGCACAGTGGCTGGCACAGAGAAGGCACTAGATAAACTGAAATTTGTTCAGTCTGGCTCCTGAATAAATGACAATCTGTTTGCAAAGCCTTGCCTTCAAGTTATGGGCACTCATATTTCCCCCTTTTACTTGGCCCTCAGGATTTATATACACACTACATGAGAAGATGCAAATGACCATCTCCTGAATTGAAATTCTAAGCTCATCAACTGGAACACACTTACTAAATGCTATTCCTATTTACTTAGTTACAAAGGAAATACATACCTCTCAGACTATCATTACCTATTATTTTAGTAGTCATGTAAAAAAACACAATTATTATTTCTTCTTTTCTATCAATTTAGAGGAAAATATTCTTCAGAAAATATGCACATATCAAAGGCAACTACCTTCAACCAAACACTAAGCTATTTATGTAGGCACAATACTTTTAAAAGAACATTGTATATTTTAAGCCCTTCTTTAATTTAAGAAAAATGTAATAAATTAGGAAATGAAACCTATAAATCAACAAATACATTAAATATTTCAAAAGAAAAAACTCTGAGGATAATTAAATTATATAGTGAGGTTTGGCTTGTGACTCATCTATCAGAAAACCTGTTGAGAAATGTTTGGGGCCTATATTTAAAATGATATTGTTCAACATTTACATGAAAAATAAAAGAATGGCAACTATTGTCTTCTTGTATTTTCATACTTCAAGTCACCTGAAATGTGATTATGATTTAGAAGTATAGATGCTGAGGCATTACTTGCTGTTTAAAAAAAAAAAAAACAACTTAAATCATGCTTATTGATTTTATTCTTCCTATCATAATATATTTTCAAAAATTCGTTAATTATTATGCAGAGTTCACCATCACAGCAATAAACTGAATCAATGTATGTGCTTTAATTAAATGTACTTTAAAAAGTCATTCTTAAAATATACATGTACTTCATGATAGCATTTGGGATTTTAAACTTTCAATTTTTTAAGAATCTGCTCCAATGAATAAAATGCACCATAAATTTGAAAAACAATTCCACACATGAGTAAATTAATGTCATCTTACCTAATATTTATATTAATTCTTAATTTAAGTCCTAAAATAGGACTTTACAATACCTATTATATAGTGGTGGACACATGAAACAACTTGAAATATTTTCTAATGCACTAATTTTGCACAATTCTATGATATTCAATGGCCCCTCTGAATAAACAACATTTAAAAGAAAAAATTAATATATAATTTGGTTGTTTGTTCAGTAATTTGTTTTGACAGAGTGATTTCAGTGCTTACATAGATTTTACTACAAGTACTAATGATCCACCTTATTTTGAATTTTGGAGAAGTTCTTACAGTATAAATTTAAGATGTACAACATGAAGTTTTGATACACAAATAGATAGCCAAGTGTAACAACCCACTTTTAAAGTCTACTGCCAATGTTTCCTCATAATCAAATATGATTAATTTAGCCAGTTGGCTCTTGGCAATAATTCTAGTAATGGAAAATTATCATAAGCCAATATGTCTTGATTGCAAAGCCTGCCCCTTTATTGTCTGCCTAGATTCTTTTCACATCAGGTCTATAGTGAAAAGTGAAGTCACAAACAGAGGTATTAGAACGCGCACAATGGGACCACTGTTCCCTGGAACAAATCAAATTTTCAATAACTCTTATGGTAATTTGAGGGCTTCCATTATATAATCCTTCAAAAAAATTATATATTTTTTTTCATTGAACAATCTAGTGAGTGTACCTTAATATACACAACAAGTAAAATAAATTAAAAGTAAATCAAAGCAAATGTTTAAGTCCTGGGTTCATGAAGAAAGCATGAGAAATGTTTAAGCCTCGATTAATGTCAAATATTCAAGTTGTTGGGTTTGGCGACAAAGGTGGATTCTCAAGAGAGAACACATTCCAAATGAGATGTTCTATTCTCCTCTCAACCCCATTCATAAAACGCCTTGCTGTTATGCAATGGGATCACTCTGCGTGGGTAATGAACATACAGGCTGATGTTCAGCGTTGACTGGTTGCACACAGAACTGAAACATCACTTATCTTTTACTTAAAAACAAAACTTAAGGGAAGATGTTTAGGTAGAAGCACTTTTGCAGGGAGTCGTTTGCATTTCTTAAGGAAACAAACCAAAGAATGTGACTGAAATGAGGAATCCAAAGGCACAACAAATGAGTACTTCACACAGGAAAGCTCAGAGCAAGGGTCTCCTGGAAGGAGTAAACCAGTTATGTGGCCATAGATAAAGGGCTGGCATAGCTCTGGGAGAAGCCAAGCCTGAACGTGTTCGCTATTTTCAGCTGATATTGAAGAAAGGGGATTTGAGAACCCTAACATTGGCTTCCCTTTTCTTAATGTGACCGTAACCGTGCAGAATTCTCTCTATCCCAACTCGGGTAAAGAGGTCTCAACCCCGAACCTAACTCGCCTGCTTTAAATCTCAAGAGTTTACACCGCAGTCACAAATCTGGGAAACCAAGAGGGATGATCAATGCCAACGTGAGACTGCATGTTCTTTTGACTTTTGTTTGCTGGGGTTTTCATTTTCGATAGACATCCTCACTTTCCTTATGGAGCTGGGAAAGATAATGAACACCCATATTCCTCATTAAGACAGCCCCAATTACAGCCAAACGAAACCTAGAGGACCCAAATCTGTCCCCAGAACCGAATCACAGAGCCGCCTCTGCATGGGTGGCCACCTAGACCGTCCCTTAGGTCGAGCACAGTTTGTGCCTGGAACGAAGGGAAAGCATCTCTCTTAATTCCTCCCCAGACCACTCTTTCTGTATAGACCCACCTGCATGGGCGCTTCGTGTCTCATTGTAGGCAAATGTTCTTTCTTTCTAGGGCAGCGCTGGCCGGGACGCCCCGCAAAGCGTGCACAGCCCGCGCGTTCCACGCTCCACACTGCACTCTCGGGGTTCACTAGCCGGTTCCAACATCAGCACCAGAGCTGTCCTCTCCTGGCGCCCGCACACGCGTACTGGCTAAGAACCCCGAGTACTCCTGGGAGTTGTAGTCTTGTCCTGCAGGTCTTTTATGCAAACGGGCAAGCAGTGAACTACACCTCCCGGCAAGCAAGAAAGACTTTAAATAGGCTCGGTCTTCCAGTAGCACTTGGCCGCGGATCCTCCCTTCTTCGCCTTATGGGTTGCTCCTGGCTATTATCGCTCTTAGCTTCCTCTGCCCCTTTCTTTGCAAGGCTCCAGCAGAAGTGATCCCAGCGATCTCGGCTGGAGATTTTTCTTTACTAGCTATTCCCCTTGGGAAGCCAGACTGAAATTCCCTAGTTGGGAAGCGCAGTCTTGGTGTTCATTTCCAATACAAATGATACCTTCTATGATTCCCCGCCTCACCTCTACCCATCTCAAATCGGAAAAGTTTATACATTTCCATAGGATGAGTGGGGTAGTTTTACTATTTTATTCAATAAACACGAGAAAGAAAGGAAGGCAAACATATAAAGAAAGTGTTTTATCTGCATAAATGCATTGAGAAGACTCGAGGACGCGCGCGCGCACACACACACATATATACACACAGAAACCGACACACGTCCCAAAGTCCGTGAAAGCGAGATTTCTCGCTGAATACACTCAAGAATTCCCTTCATTTGCTTACCTTTCCATAGAGCTCCATTGCAGCTGGAGGTTCGGAAACTCTCGAGTAAATCTCCCTGCAGCAAACGGAGTGAAAGTCTTACGCAGCAAGCGGGGCTAAACTGAAAGGCACAACACAATGGAAGAGCTAGGGGTAAGCGGCTCCCAGAGAGAGAAACGAGGGACGTGGATAGGACAACTGATTTAGATGGATAACTTCTTTCCTTAGGTGGGGGAAGCGCGGAGTCTTCAAGTGGCAGCTGCAGAGAAAGGACTGAGAGTCTCTTAGGAAGTGTCAGGGGCGATCGCGCTGGGCAGCCCCTCCCCAATCCCTCCCCCAGGAACCTTCCACCGTCATTAGTGCGCACACACAGCCACCGCTGGCCGCAGGCTGGAGAGCTGATAGGGCACCGGGTTATTTATCCAAAGCAAGTCACATAAAATGAACACATTCATCACCAGAGCCCAGAAGCACCGCCAGGGAATGAGATGGGAGACCTCTATTAAGTTATTCTGTCCTTTCTTTAGCACAGAGCCATTCCTTATATTACAATCGCACTCCTCCTAGATTTAGTTCATAGCATGATTTTCAAATCTCTGAACTACATTTTTGTTACACGTACCCTTTCCCATCAATTGACTACCATGTATGGCTATTTATGTACTCTATACCTATCTAAAGATAGCCCTCTCCCCTTAAGAGTAAACGTTGATCATCCAGAAATGACGCCTGTCTTGGCATGAGGTCAAATGTATTGTATTGGTGGTGGAGTAGAAAAGGAAACAATCATTATACTTGCAGGAAGGCATGAAAGGAATAACTTGAATCCGCTTTAAACTTCACCGCATTAGACAAAGCAGTAAAAGGGAGGTTCTGGAATTTAATACATTTGACAATCTCTTTGGGAGGGAGGGTTGAAATTCGTATTTTCAAACTCTATGTAGAGATTTTGATTGACTATGTCTGATTAGAGGTCTGGGAATTTTAAACAAATACCCTAGCAATTCTGATGAAACCGGCTCCTTTACCTTAACTTGAGAAACACTACCTTAAAAGATTCGTATGTAAGACATTTTCCACCACATTTTAAGATACAAACCTTGAAAATTTCACTGTATGAACTTAATATTGCAACAACCCTGTATGGGGAACCTATTCAAAATATTTAGTTAATTAAAGTTTGGGTTTAAAAAAAAAAGAGCCTAAGATCTATCTGCTAATCTATGATTAGTGAGAATATAATGTGACATCATCCAGATAAAGAATTTTTATAACTACTCAGAAAAAGCATTTTAAAATGCTCACTTCATAATGTGGAGGATTATGATTAGAAAAAATTAATTTTAAATAGTCAATAACAAAATGAAAAGTGAAACGGAATTCTATAACAATATGTTTCATGGTAGCAACTTACTGCAAGTAATACAGAGTGTTCTATTAAGACATATCTAAGAGTATATCTCTTTATGAGTTTTTTCCAAGAGAAATACCAATTAAATAATACTGATACTTAAATGCATATAATTGACATTTAATATTTGTTCAACTACTGAAAACATGTTTCTTCAGAACAATTTACTGTATTTTTTTCTACCATCAACAAATTTCTTAAAAATCAGAGTCTGACTAAAGCATATTTAAATATCATGACTATTTAACTTACAATTTACTTTTCTTTGAGAAATTTATCCTTTCTCAGCATTTTACTAAAATGACATACATCCTTGATGTATTTAAATATATATATTCTAGTTGTAAATGGACACAATACCTTTATTTATTTTTTTTATTTTTATGTGGTGCTGGGGATTGAACCCAATGCCTCATACAGGCTAGGCAAGCACTCTACCACTGAGCCACAACCCCAGCCTACAAATTTTGATTTTTTTAAGTGTGTCTTTAAGTTTGTAGAAGTATCCATAAAAATTAAGTTTAAAAAACTAGATTTGCAAAAGGGCTTTGGGAACTAAGTTCTGTCCTACTCATAAATGTGTAGGAAAAATAAAATAAAATAAAGTCAGAAGTCTGCTAAACAAACAACAGTGAACCAGAATTAACTGTCTCCTGAAAGTCAGAGCAGTCTGATTTCGAATGTACCTGTTCCCGGCATCTCTCTTTTAATTTAACAGAAATCAGTTTAAAATTAAATTAAATTTTAACTTTAATTAAATTCAAGGGATTACCCAATGTTAGCATACCATGTCTCCCATTGAGCAAACAGGGTAATAGAGAAACATTCTTCACTTAGATTTGAATCTGGAGTTGATATTAAAAGGAGTTAATATCAGAATTAACAGAAGGAAAGGGGGCCACCAGTGACATGTGACATGAATACCTCACCATCTCAGAATGTAGAGCAGGCTCAAAGTGACCTCCTCAGGGTCATGCAGACAATCCGAGGGATAGCTAGGTTGAGAACTCTAATCTCTGCTTTCAGATTCACATTTCTTTGCCACTCCCCATGTCCCTGCTCAAGCACCAGCTTTTTGCTTCCCTGCATTTACCTAGTATTCACTTTGTTGTTGCTTTATTAGTATTTGCTTTGCTTTTTTTCCTGAATTAGGACTTGGGCTGAAAACTGAAACTACTGAAGTTTGGCATAAGGATTAAGGACACCCTCCAGGATTCTCTATGCCCCTCATGAAAACCTGACTCAAATCCACAGTTCGTGGATGGGAGTCTAATCTTAGATATTCCTGGGACCATATCCAATTGAGGGCAGGATTCTTCTGGCCTGAGCCCTGTTACCTTTGTCTGACTCACCATATTTGAGGTTGGTTTTGATTTCAACCCCATGCAGCATCCATACCAAGAAATGCTATTGATCGTTTCAGGTTCCCTTTAAAAGAAATTAAGTATTTCCATGGAACTATTGATTTTTTTTTAAATTAAAAGGCAAAATTATTTTAACTCATTCCTACTCGAGAGGTTTTCAACACTATAAATAACCATTATAAGTAAGGTGCTTTGTAAAAAAAAATGTAAATGTACTAAAACCAATAAATATGGTATTATTAATAATAGCCCTTTTAAACACCTGTTTGGTTGTAGGCACTTGTATATATTATTCCATATAATACTTAATAATATTGCAAGATTATATAATTAACCTTATTTTATAAAGAAGAAGTTTAATAATGGGTTTAAGGACAAGTATTTTGCTTAAGGTCAGGAATTGAAGCTCAGGGTTATCTGATTCCAAAACCCAGACTATTACCCATGTTTTTCCTTGTAAAAGGTAATGTTACTTAAAAATAGTATATTTTATAATCTCTTGGAAATAAGGTTTACTGGACTTTGTTCTTCTTGACAAAACTGATACAACTATAGGTATCTCATGGAATTATAAGATTGCTTATATCTTTTAAAGAAATACTTTTTAATTTGAAAACTGCCAACATTTTCAGATAAATAGCAATCCATTTGATTTAGCAGAATGAAAAAATAAATTAAAAGCTCACCGCACGGGGTTTAAGTGATGACTACAGACTGAACCCTTTAAAACCATGAACCCAAGCACATCTTTTCTCTTTTAAATATATTTTTTCTCTAATAATACAATTTAAAGTCCACAGTCATTTGGCCCCATCACTGTGAGCTTGTGGTGAAACTCTGAGAACATCATGGCAGGGAGATTGTGGTGGAAGAAAGCCACATGGCAGTTGGGTAGGGAAGAAGCAGGCAGCAAGAGAGAAGGACCAAACAAGGATGAGAGGTGGGAGGGAAAGGGAGAGAGAAGGGAAATTGCATGGAAATGGAAGGAGACCCTTGGGGTTATACAAAATTACATACAAGAGGAAGTGAGGGGAAAGGGAAAAATAATACAAGGGGGAGAAATGAATTACAGTAGAGGGGGTAGAGAGAAAAGAGGGAAGGGGAGGGGAGGGGAGGGGGGATAGTAGAGGATAGGAAATGCAGCAGAATACGACTTGAGTATGTCAATATGTAAATCAATGGAAGTGTAACTGATGTGATTCTGCAATCTGTATATGGGGTAAAAATGGGAGTTCATAACCCACTTGAATCAAAGTGTGAAATATGATATATCAAGAACTATGTAATATTTTGAACAACCAACAATAAAAAAAAGAGAGAGAGAGAGAGAGAAGGACCAAGGATAGGATTTACTTGTCGAGGGCATGCCCCGAGTCACTCACTTCTTCCAACCAGACCCCACCTTCCCCATTTTCCACCACCTCCCCAATAGTCCATTCAATTATGAATCCATCAACAGATTAATCCACTGATGAGATTAGTGCCCTCATGACCCAATCACTTCCAAAATATTCCACTTCAGAACATTGCTACTGGGGATTCAAGACTTCAACACATGAACCTTGGGGGATCCCAATGCAAGCCATAACATCTGCTAAACAATAATCCCCACCCTTCATGCAAAATGCTTATTGAAGAATTGGTTTCAAATTGATATTATGTTCTCTACCTCTTTAATAAATCTGGAGGTACCTCCAAAGAGACGATTCTCATTATCTTTACAAAAATTCATTACTCTTATAATGCTAGTATAAATTTTGATAACAATTTTATAATGAAGGCCTTTCTTAACTATGTACAATGTAGATGTTGAGCTCCCCAAGAGGCTTTTGACCTGGTGAAAGAGAAACAATTCAAAAAACTGACTCTGAGGACACAGAATAGCCTTGGGCAACATATTTCAGAAGACTCATAGCAGTATAGAATTGATGCCATAAGATTGGAGAGCATGCTACTGGCACCCAACCTGATTACCCATGTCAGTTAGTCAGCATGCTTTCACCTGCATGGGTGCCTAGAGCTGCCTCACTACAGCTCTAAACTAAGCTTCCCTCTCAGAGCCAAACCCAGCTGAGCATGAGATTCCTAATAAGCATCCCTGACCTGAAGTTACACCGAATTTTTGAACAGTATACTAGGAAGGCATCTTGCACATACCTAGCTAAATAATTTCATTCATGGTTAAGAAATTAGTACCTGAATAGTGCAAAAATCTGCTCAAGGTCATCTGATGTTATCATAAATATCAGGAAAAAAACACAACTCTTCTGAAAGTATATTGTAGTTTATTAATATGATCGAATGTTATGTGTGTCAACAATATTCATTAAAATAATTTTAGGTTTACCTCTTATAATTCAAAAATGAGAGTCAAAAAGGACACCATCCTCATCCCAGAGGGGGCTCCACGTTAGTCCAAGAGACCAGACATGTAGGTAGATAAAAAGTAACTAAACAAAACTTCAGTGGCAGAGATGATACCAAGAGTTGCCTGGTTAGGTGCCTGACTGCTCTTATCACCAGTAACTTCTTTAAAGTTTTATAGG